CAAGGGTGAATCTCACTTTATTTTTTCTTAGAAAACTCTTAAGGGGTTTTCTTTAAAGAAAACGTGAGAAAATCTGGGAGAACACAAGTACTGTAAGTCAGGTTTAAGATAAATTTACCTTTGAATGGATTGATTCCTTTGTTAATTATCAATGACAAAGAATATTGTTATTTCTCTCAACACTTCCAAGTCATAGCTACTCAAGGTGTAGCTATACATTTAACACAATCATAAATATTGAAAACATGTTAAATATTTAGCCATAGATAAAAACAGAAACAAATATTCAAAATTCCAACAAAATGGTATGACTCTACTACATTTTTTCTCTTCTCTATCTTGAGTTTTATAGACATTTCATAGTATGTTTAAAGCATTTTCATATCTATAAACTTCCTGCATGCAACAATTCTGTGAAGTAGTTAGAACACATATAGTACTTCATTTTACAGGTGGGGAAACTGAAGCCTGCAACATTGACTAGGGGCAGAGTTATCACATGAGAGATTCAGAACTGGGTATCAGATCTTCTGACTCCAGGCCCAGTGTTTTCTCTTCACTATGAAAATGCCTTTGTAGCAAGAGAGTTAGGGATATGATCACTTGGTAATAGAGAAGCATGGATCTTTTCCATCCTTAGTCTTTGAAGGACTTATGAGCTAACTGTGAGAGAGAAGACACTTCCTGCCTGAGAGATTGATTACCTACATACAGGACAACCTGATGATGTACCCTGATAGGAGAAGGGCTTGTCTGAAGGTCCTAATTTGCTTTAAACATCCAGAGTTCCTGATAGGAAGATGGGGTGTGGTAATTATATATCTTGCTTTTGGCTTATCTTCTCCATATCCTCACCCTCACAGATGTCTTTCAAACATTGGTAATTATAGCTTTCAGAGCCAAAGCCTACAAACCCATAAGCCACACAGATGACATACTAAAATGTACTCAAAACATGTAAGGCTGAAGGAAATTTCAGTGCTACTAGACTCATATTGAAAGAAAACTGCTTATAAAAGAGGTAGCCTTTCTTTCTATGACACATCTGTACTCTACTACATAGGCGTGCAATTGTATCTTGTTGATCTGTGGGGGTGTGCATTAACTCATTTGCCTCTAAATTTAATCAGTGACTTAAAAATAGACTACAGTATGTGTGTGGATGACAAGACCATATGATTAAAACCAAATACAGCTGTCTGACATTGGAAAACGGATCCAAGTTAATGAAACCTACTTGAAACGACGAAGGAATTGCTTCTAAGAAAGATGAAGAATCAGTATCAAGACATGAGTTCAACACAGAAAAGCAGTTGTCCTTGTCATGCCTATAAATGGAACTTGAGTTAATAACATCATAATTTCTTAAGCAAGTTCTTGCTATAGTGGCAGCAACCTAACATATGTTGGAATTTTCTACCGTATGTATCACTGGCCAGACCAATGGTAATACATCCTGTCTAATTTGGCATCCCACAATTTAGGAGGCCCTGAATGTTTAACGAATTATGAAAGTAGACACTAGGAAAAGTCAAATGAATTATCTTGTTTTATTGGGTTTGAGAAGCAGTTCAGAGGGCTTAGTAATGGTCTTCGGGTAGAGTTAGTGCCATAAATATTGGTGTGTGGGTATTTTTTCATTGCAGTAAGAATGCAAGGAAATGTTAGAGATTTGAGAAAGACAGGATAAATGGAAAGAACTAGCATATGTTCAGCACCTATGTTGTGCTGGGTATTCTGTGCACATTATCTCATGGAATCTTCACAGAAAACTTGCAATTGATCCTGATAGAAACTGAGAGAGAGTCATAAAGCCAAAAGTCAGAGTCCTTTATCTGGTACTTGGTCCTAGGGTCTGTTTACCTCCAAGTGTTGTGCTCCTGACACCATATCTCTGTAAAACTACATTGGCCTGGATTATGGAATCTTCTTCCTTCATTAAATTCATGAATAGATTCTAGAGACATATCTGAGATAGCGATGTGGTATTCCTATCTAGAAATAGGAAAACGAATTAAATTTCTCTGAGGTCACCTTCAGCAGTAATTTTAGATTAAAAGTCTGATCTAGAGATTTAGTCCAAGGCTTTTACTGGGTACATTATTATTATTATTATTATTATTATTATTATTATTTAATCATTAAAGGTCTGAGATCTTCAGCATGAGTAAGACTTTAGGTGTTCATATTTAAAGTTTTCTCTACCTACTTAAATGTCCAACAATAAGGAATTGGTCCAATAACCAGAACACAACCGTACACTGGAATTCTGTGTGTGGTTAGAATTATGTACAAGGAGACATATCCAAAGAGAGTGCTAGGAGCGATATCAAAGAGTAGGTGAAAGAAACTTTAATGATATAAGAAAATGTTTTCATATGTTATCAAATTTAAAAAATCAGAAAAAATGCTATAAAGTATGTGTCTAATTAAATTTAAATACAGATTTACATATGCATGGATAAAAACAACTGGGAGAATATAAGCCAAAGTATTAATGGTGGTTCCCTGTGGGAACTGTGCTAATGGGTGGCTTTTATTTTCATCTCTGGGCTTCTCTAAAACAAACAGGTCTTATATTTCTAGAGAGAATGCTTTACATACAACAGACACGTGCACACACTACACAATTTTCTGTAAAAGTTTTAAAATTTGGAAATAGAATAATAATGTGTCAATGCAATTATGTATAGGACAAGGGAAATTTATTAAATAGCATCAACCTCATTGGTGGCAGTAAACCGTCAGTGTACCCATCAATGGAAATAAAATTGGCTCTTCACGTAATTTCTTATTATGCTAAAATGATTACATATTACTATCAGAGTTCTTTAAGCACCCGGCCTAAAACTGTGTACTCAGAAGGCACACAAAACACACAGCTAAGCATATGGCACTGTGTGTGTAAAATAGAGATAATATCACAGCTAGCTCATGGGGTTCTCAAAAGATTTAAATAAAATAATACTTCTAAATCTGCTAGCACAGTGCCTGACACATAGATAACTACCAAGAAAGTAAGCACCCAATAAATGTTATGTTCTTACTGATAAGCTAAAGAACAGAATAATTCTATAGAGGAAGATGTTTATTGATCTAAGCAGTCTATATCAGCCACCTGGCACACATATTTCATTTTAAATAGCCATGCAATTAATGTAGGTGGTGTCCAAAGGAATCTCTGGCACATTGTAATTATGTAGTACATTTCATTCACCACACTTACCAAGTTTTAGTGAGTAATGAAAACAGGAAATGAAGCCATGATATAATTCAAATTTTCTTTAATGATTTTGCTTATATTTAATATTACCAAGAATTATTGAAATATAAAAAGAATTAGTACTTTACAGCTGCACTGTTATTTGCCTGTATCTAATTTTTTATTTGTGATTAAAAACAACTTTGAATTAGTTATATCCTTTATTAGGTAATACAAACAAAAAGCACATCTAAATTTCTTCTTTGAAAATACCATCATCCACTGGAGACTGTCTTAGTTCAGACTGCAATAACAAAAATACCACAGACTGGGTGGCTTAAACAACACACATTTCTCTCTCACAGTTCTAGAGATTGGGAAGTCCAAGATCAAGGTACTGGCAGGTTTGCTGTCTGGTAAAAATCTGCTTCCTGGTTCATACATGGCTATCTTCTCACTGTGTCCTCACATGGCAAAAGGGGCGAGAGAGCTTTCTGGGCTCCCTTTTATAAGGCACTAAATCCATACATGAGAGTTCCACCCTCATGACCTAATCACCACCCAAAGGCACTACTTCTCCATACCACCACTTTGTGGGTTAGGATTTCAACTTAAAAGTTTTGGGGATCACAGACATTCAGTCTATAGTAGAGACATACACTTGTTTAAATGTATTTTAATTATCTACATTAGATAAAAGTAGAATGGTTAAATGTCCCACATTTTTTAAGGGAAATCGTTTAAGCAGAGGTCACATTTCTAGATGAAGACACATTAACTCAATGATTTAAAATAATATGGCTTGGGTCTATCATCATATTTCAAGATCAAGAAGAAAAACCTCAGTTACCTACTTAGTGAAAGATGCTACAATTATAACTGGTAAGAAAGTGATTCAGAATATGAGTGGGATTTTAAAAATTAGACTTGTTTGTCCCCCACTCTGAGACCAGAAGTATTTAGAGGGGCAAAAACCTAGATGCCTTGGTGGCAAATGTTTTGGTATTTGGAAAATAAAGATGTCTTTTTCCAAATGTAGCCATTTCCAAAATGCAACTAAGGACTATACCTACCTGTCAACTCTGCCCCTTTCTTTCTCAGCCCTCAATCTCTGACCATCTTCTCAGAAGCCCCTTGTATGATTCCCTAAGGGACTATTGCTAATTAATGTCTTCTGGGTTCTACCTTCCTCATGACTATTGCGGCTTTTTTTTTTTCTTTTCAGGAAAAAGTTTGTCCTCAGTGGTACATGTCAACCCTTGCCCAGCCTCATAACTTATTTTCTAGATGACAGGTTTAGTTTTGGCCCCAGGAGGCAGGATAATGGGAGAGATGGGGAGGAGCCTGGAGAGGGTTCAAAATACTGACCGGCACCATTCGATACATAGCTGGGTAAACTCATGCCTCCGAAGACCACAGGTTTCTCTATTTCTTTATATATGCTCAGTGGGATTTCTTTAAACTTCGTCAACATTTCACATATGAAACATTTTTATGTTTCTTTCTGTTTCGGTCATGTGCTTTAAAAGATCATCAATTTTAAAGCAAGGAAATGAGAATACAGGTAAAATTCAAAAGGGAAAAGATGGGAGTCTATAAAAAGTTTCCTTACCCTCTCTCAGAGCAAATTCACATTTGACTGAGTAGTGGTTCTACATTTATATTCCAGTTAGATGATTATTCTTGTCGATGAATAGAGAATGTGTATTTTTCTTTCCAAGGGGAAACTACATGACTCCAGATTTGGATACTAGACACAATAGTTAAAAAGATAATGGAAATATTTATTTTCTATCAGTAGGTTTGGAAGAGAATATATTTTGGATCCGAAGAACATATTTTGGATCTGAAAAATTAAAAGCACTTAAAGAAGACTGAACTTTGTGTTGTACAGACTCCGCTAGACAAGAAGAAACCCACGTGAATGCTGAGAGGCAAATCAGTGAAGTGGCCTGAGTTTCTCTTTCTTCAGCTTTAAAATCTGGTGACTAAACTGGTCAAGCAGAAGATATAATAAACATAGATTGGAATAAATCTGCATTTTCCAAGCCTGATGAATTTTAAAAACTGAATTGACTAACTGCAATCTTGAAGACAGAAGGGAAGTACCCAGTCATGCCTCCTGAAGAAAGAGTAGTCTGAAAATTATGTTGTGTCTGAGGACACATTACAAAGAGATAGAGGCTCAAGATCACCCAGAGGGCCACTGCCTCCACTCTGAGACTGTAAAGAAAGGGCTGGAAAAGGAATATTCTCCATATAAGTATGAATGCTAAAATGTAAACATTTTTTAATTTCAATCCAAAAATAAATAAATGAATTAAAAGCCAAAGATGTCTATTCTAATTTAAACTCTCTGTATAAACCTAATATGTAGCGGGTGCTAAAAAAATCTGTTTATGGTATGTGACTGAATATTCTCTATGCAATGTGTGTATGTTAACGCTATAGTTCATTTATTATAAGGTAGTTTTTCACATTTTAATATCTCTGAAATATGGATAAATTTGAAATTAATGGCATGTCATAGTTTAATTGGCAGCATCTTTTTCTTAGCACCACTTAAAAGAATGACACAACTTACATAGATGGTGTCTTAGATTTGATGAAGTACAGTATTCATTACAGTTTAAAAATCACAACTCTATCTAGAGTCCTAAGGACCTCATAGATGTTTTAGTATTTGTGAATTATCTTAAGAGTAAGCTGGAAAATGCTAAAGAAATGCTCCTGAGAAGGACTGCTCTTGGAAGCAAAAGTGACACGTATGTTCAGGAGGAAGTCTGCGGGCAAAGAAAATGAGGCTAATGACAACATCAGTGCTTTAGGTCTGGCATCATTCAGCTAGGTCTCTTATGCTCCATTCCTAAACTCCTAAAGCTGGTTCTAGTCAGTTTCAGTCCCTTCACATTGTATTGGAGACCACCAATACATGTGATCTCCAATAAAGCTGGAATCCATGGAAAAGATTACATACCCTAATACTGAGCAGAATAGTAGGCATAATGTATTTTCTAGGTATTATATTTACTCAGGGTTTGGCTGTCAAAGGTGTCATACTTTAAAAGATTTAGAGCCTCATAAGACGTATAAAATAAATGTCTTTTTAAAATCTTAAAGCATTTTTGTCCCCCTCTTTAGATCAGCTCAGAACAGCATCAGTTCTTCCATTAGGACTTCAGCGAGCTCAGCAAAGAAGTCAGTATTATTGAAGATTAAAACAAATAACTTACTGTTTTAAAAAGATGAATACACATATCATTATAGATAAGACTGTGGAAGAGTGTGTCAACAGTGGTTACTTCTGAATGAAAACTGTCAGTTCTTTTTTCCTTATCTGTATTTTTAAACTTTGCCACAATAAACATGTGTTGCATCTGCAGTAATTTCAAAAAAGCAATAAGGGCTTTTCTTTTTTTACAGTTAAACAGCGGATACTATAAAGTACAGCTGGAATCTTCGAGGATGCATTTACCTAATAATTTTTTTCCAAAAACATTACAGGCATCGTCCATTCCAGCCCCAAAGTCCAATTTAAAGTCAGTCATACATGAGACAGTGAGGACCCACAAGATGGTGTAGAAGGAATAATTCTGACCTCCATCTTGATAGAATGGAGACTATCATAGCCTGCTATTTCTTCAGCATGTTTCTGTGTGTTGACAGTAAATGTGTACATGTGCAATTCGCTTTCTCTGGCCAGGTCACACAAGGGAGCAATTAACTTAAAAGCATAAATTTCTTGATCTGGATTTTATTTAGAGTGCTGGAGCTGAAGTCTTTTTATTTACATGTCACTTCAATCCCTTAAAGCATAAAAACCCTTCAATATAAGTCTTTTCTCCTACTGTAACCACGTTTGTGCCAACTTCAAAATACTGAAAAGCACTATTTGAACATAAGTGATGCAGTGCTAAATAAAATATCCTCTTTTGCTTATCTGTTAGCACAATTTTAGGATGCTGTACCTCCTTTACCATGTATTGGGTAGAAAATTATTTTTCTGGGTTTTATATTACTCAGAAAAAGTCAGTATTATTCAGGTTCTTTGTTTCCTCAAATCATGTTATTAACATATATTGACATATAGATCTTCCTCTTTTATCTTAGGTGTATGTAATTTTATCAGCTTTGCAGGAAAAACAGATACCCTTAGGATCTGAACTGGTATTTGAAGAGATAAACTCACTTTTAGCTCATGCCTAATAACATTATATTATTGTTTAGAAAGAAATAGCAGGCTATGTCTAATAAATTTTAATATATTTTTTCTGTCATCAAATAACAAGTGAATTATCCTACTGATAAACCATAGAACTCATATCAAACTGTGAATGGTGTCTAGTTCCTCCGTTTTTGCCAAGTAAGAGCAGAGAGGAACATTACGTGATGGGCAGCATTTTAGTGACATTTGGAACCTTTGTGCAGTTAGCACTTCACATGTTGCTCAGAGAGCATTCTTTCCGATGATTTCAGGGGGAAAATAAAAGGGAATGGAAAGAATTGATTGAATATTTGTGAGATTGGGCAATGGAACCTCTCTAAGCCTCAGTTTCCTCCCTGGAAAAATAAAGATAATTTCTTCCTCACAGGGTGACTGTGACTATTAAAAAGGATGACATAGTAAGATGAAAATAGTTTGTAAATCACTACATTGGTTGTTATTGTTACATAAATGTGAGCATTGAGCACATTAGGAAAGGCCTTATTAAATCTGGTGCTTTAGCACTCAGGGTAGGCATTAACCGGAGAGGCAGAGAGGGGACAGGCTGAATACTGTTGACCCTGGCATTACAAAACCCACTCCCAGAATTTCCTGGGTTGAAGTGGCATTCGTGCTCCGTCAAGGTAAAGGGTCTGGTCCATTCGGCCTCTCTCAGAGCAGAGGAATTCTCCACTCTGGCAAAGGTGTCTGACATGGCCAATGTCATCCACTTCAATATCAGTAAATGTAGGGAGTATTAATGGAAAGAAAGGCTAGCATTCTCTTGAGAGGGTTCAGGGAAGCTTTTCCAATTGGGATTTGAGATGGGCAGTGATTTAAACAGCTAATGAGCATTAACTACATACACCATGAGGAAAGCTGACCGATGAAATACAGATCGACTCTTCCTGTCTCTACATATACACTGAAGTTCTGTTAACACAGCAGTTCCACACCCCCATGGAGAGAGTTAAAGATAATGGACTGGATGACTCCAGTGTCCTGGGGACAGAAAGATGCCTGGTGCCTGAAGAGATCTGCTCTGTTTTCTGTAAGCAGAGATTCTACTACCATCACCTTCTCTTTTTGCTGCAACAAGAGACAAACAAAGGGGATTTTCCCGAGCAGCGTGAGTGACGAAGAAATGAAGCAAATTATTGAGAAACTGATGGGCGTTAATCGAAGAGCAACAACTATGATTTATAATCCTGAAGGGACTGCTTTCAGAGGGAAGATGAAAGAGACAAGTCTCCTAGCATGACCACCGGTTCTAACTAACAGGGACTGGCTCATCGGCCACAAGTACTTGAAGGGTGTAAATAGCAGGGACAGAAAGAAATTATTTAGTGTGGTCCAAGGGGACAGCAGGAGGAGTGATGGAAATGAAAGTCAAAACAAAGATGATTTAGGCGGCTGAGCAAGTCTCATGCCCTAATGGAGAGATCTGTCTTAGACTGTGCTGTCCTGTCCCCCGGGAGGGGTGGAAGCCCCATCACGTGTGCCATTTACAATTGGAAAAGGCACTAAAAAGTAGATCAGCATATTGGAGAGGGAAAAAACCACCACATGCCCTCAGAGGATCAGTGAAATGACTTAATAGGTCTTTTCCATCTCAAATTACTGCAATGTGGCTTGTGCGCATGGGGACCTGAGTTGCTAGAATAATTTTCCATCATCTGGGCTTCTTCTCTGTTACTACAGGGCCTCGGTGAAGACATGATAATACGTAATGGAGAGCAGTTTCTGCATTATAAATGGAAGCCTACAGTGTAATGATGCTTTAGTGTGAAAGCAGATTATTTTGCTTTGAAAGATTATTTTGCATTGAAATGTCAGTGTAAATAAATACATACACATACTGAAGGAGACCCAAAACAACATACACATACTGATGGAGATCCAAGACAAAGGGAAAGGAGCTTTATCACACTTGGATGGTGGCTGCATAAATGAAATTCAGGTATTCTCTAATCTAGGAAAATAAATGTCTAAACATTAAATTCTATCTTTAAAAAAAATTAGAAAAAAATTATTTGGCATTCAAAAACTACTGGGTAGGAACTTGACCCATGTCTCGAATGTGTTTACTATATTGTATTTCTGTCCACAGCTGCAGTTTTAGCAACTGACACATTCTGAAACTCTTGGTGGCACATGTGGGGGATGAGGTACTGCCAGCCTAGAGTAGCAACTGCAGTTGCAAGGAATGGGTACAACCTGGTCAGGTGGAAACTAGGGCAGAGAAGGACCAGTATTACTGTGATCGCTAGAAGGAGCACAGCTGTGACCATAACCGCTCCTCTCAGCCACAGAGTGACACAGAAGTGGGGAGACAAAAATGGTTGGAAGGTGACAGATGGAAAAGGCACAAGAATCTAGAAGCTGGGGGAAACCCCACAGATATAAATTCTTCACCTTCACAGGTGGAGGATATCACAGTTCCTGATAAAAATATTGTATGTGGTTGGGTGTAAGTTGAACTTGGCGTTCTGGAACACTGATATTTGCTACAAATTCAAGGTTTGACTTACACCCGACAGATATAGGTCAACCCTCATCCTGCTGCTCTCAGCAGCTGTAGCCAATGGGAGACGGAGCTGCCGGGCACACCGGTTTAAGCTGCTGCTAATAGAATGAAATCAACCTAACCCCATTTCCTGCCTCTGCTATCCTCCCGTATATATTCATTGCCAATTTAGGTGCAGGCCGAGCTGCTGCCTGCTTTAACTGCTGGGAGACTGACAGGGTAGAATCTGTTACTGGCATATTCCCTTCTTATCTAGGTGAAAGATCTGTTTCTAAGCTTTTAAAAGGAGAACTGTGCAAAATACAATACTCCCTCATTAACCAAAGGGCTATCCTAAATTCATAGAGAGTTTTCACTGATCTGTCACTTCAATGAGATTTCACAGATGTTTAGAAAGAGAGAAATCCATGGCAGAGGCCTGTTTCAGAAGGGATATAGCGGTGGTTAAATGATTCTGTCCAAGGTTATTCAGAGAGGTGATGGTAGAGGCAGAACGAGAATTAAGGGAGTGGTCTGAGAATAAATAGGGGGAAATTATCAAATTAAATCCAGAAGAAGAACATCTTCACTGAACAAAACTGACTTAATTAAGATCCTCACA